CCTCCCCTCCCTCGCCCCCCTCTCCCCCCCCTCCCCTCGCCCCCTCCCTCCCCCCTCCCCCCCCTCCCCCCTCCCCCTCCCTCCCCTCCCCCCCCTCTCCCCTCGCCCCCTCCCTTCACTTGCTGCTCCCGCGTGTTTTTGTCTGTCAGTCTGTTCCAGGTCTTTGCGCTTTTATTCCGCTCTCTCTCTCTCTTTCTTAGTCTGTTTCGCTCTCTAGCTCTATTGTTTTTTTTTCTCTATCTATCTCTTCTCTCCTCTCTTTATATATCTCTTATCTCTCTCTCTCTTCTCTCTCTCTCTCTCTCTCTCTCTCTCTCTCTCTCACTCTCACTCTCACTCTCACTCTCACTTCTCACTCTCACTCTCACTCTCACTCTCACTCTCACTCTCACCTCACTCTCCCTCACTCTCACTCTCTTTCTCACTCTCCTCTCTCTCTCTCCCTCACTCTCACTCTCTCTCTCCTCTCTCTCTCTACCCACTTCCTCCACTCCGAACTTGTGCCAATCAGCGCCAGGGGGCCGGGGGGAGAGGGTGGGGGGGACGTTGGAGCCAGGGAATTGTGACACAACGGGATGTCTGTACAGCGTCTCCTCATCTCTGTCCCGAGTGATGGTTGGAGGGGGTGGGGGGGGGGGGGGAAGGCACTTGCAAGGCGTCTGGCCCTCTGTCTCTCGTCTATTTCTTGTCATTTCTGAGGTTCTGGGGGAGGCGAGAGGCCAAGACTCTGTCGGCAGAACGGAGATTACGTGCATGCCTGGAGACGAAAGGAAGTAAAAATGCGGTGGAATGATACGTCGGCAGAGGAGAGTTAAGTGGTCGGTTTGCCATACGGAACTAAAAGCAGTCGCGATCCGTATACAGAGAACCGCAACTTTAATGGTCTATATAGATATAACAAGGAATGATTCCTCGCAAGTTTGATGATCTACATAGTTACAAGGAATGATATTCTTCCTCTAAAAGATAAATCCCAAAATATTAGCAAAACGATAATTTTTTAGACGTACAAAAGACACCAAAGTCATACACCTCCGGCGCAGGCAGAAGGAGCCCCAGGTCGGCCCAGAATCCACGTGAGGGGGCGAGCGGCGGCAAGGGGGGGAGGCGGGGGAGTGGTGGGGGAAGGAGGGCAGCTCACGGACGGCGTTTTTTTGAAGTCTTTGAAGTATTAATGGAGAAGGAGGCGAAGGAGACTGTTCCTCAAGAATCTTTTTCTCTCTCCTTCACGATGTCTTTGAAAAGGGGAACCGGTTACGACACAGTAAATAGAATTTCTTGTTTAGTGTACAGATCTAGACGCAAAGAGGCTTTTCGGATATACATTTCTTCTTTGAGATGTTCTCCGTACGTGTATGTTGGTACGGAAGGAATGGAGGGAAAGACGGAGAGAAGGTGAGAGAGAAAATGAGAGAGAGAGAGAGATAAGGGAGGGTGAGGGAGACAGGGAAAGGGATATGGAGCGAAGGAATGGAGGGAAAGACAGAGAGAAGGTGAGAGAGAGAAAGGGATATGGAGCGTTAGAGAGAATGAGACAGATATAGCGAGAAAGGGAGATGGAAAGTTCAAGAAGATGAGACAGAGAAAAGGGAGAGGGAGGCAGAGAGATAGAGGAAGAAAGCGAGAGAGAGAGAGAGAAAAGCAACCCATTAGCGTGATTCTTAATGATCTTCCTTGCATCAGAAGTCCTCCTTGACCAAGCCTTTCTCTTTCCCCGGAGATTTTAAAGGAACATTTCCCTTGTTGTATTTCCTCTTTCCCTG